ATAAAAAAAGAGGATGTGGTATGCTTGTCAATGAGACAAATCTACACAAGAGACCAAACGACACAGAAATTAACAGCTATAGGTCACCGTACGGCCTGTTTTGTTGTTGAGTAGCAAATTATTTTATAGTAAGAGAAATTTCTCTCGTTTAATTGACCAAACACGATGCGATACTTTAAACAGATTTTCTGGTTTAGGTATTTGCCTACTGTTGAGGATTTGTGAACTCTATATTTATCGTTAAAATTCCTTTCGTATTCATTCAAAGTCACGAACATTTTTTTGTGTTTTTTTTATTTATTTTTATTGCACAAATATGACACTGTCTGAGAAAATATTGTGTCAGTTTGTGCTTTAGTTAAAATCAAACTTTTCAATCATTTAACCATATTCCAAAAAAAGAATTAGTATCACATATTACATATGCCAATTAGATATAAAATAAATACTTACTTGTATATGATATACAAACACAAATAAAACAGATAAGGAAAATCGCTTGTGTCCTCATGTTTGCCGAAGGATTATTGTGTATCTTAAGTAATTTATAACGTACAGTTACAAGCCCTTTTAACCTTATTTTTATATCTATGCAAGTTATTATTTTCAACAATGATAAACGTAGTTTAATTATATGCTGTTGCCTCAAACCAAAGAACCTGCATCCACGTAAATCATTTTAATTACTAGTAAACTAAACATGCTAAATGAAGTCATTACAACACTGATGTTCTAAAGAATAAACGTACACTTTCTGTTCCAATCAATGCCATATGCTCTACTGAGACAATCATATCGTTACTTCGACTAATCTTAATGCTGCCTGTGAACATTTGCAGATTTCCCAATATCTATTGTCAGTCTCACCTACATTAGACAACCTTCAAATTGTGTTTCATTTATTTTTTCCTTGATCTATAGCTAGTGTTTCTATTCTTATCACAAGTCCCTTAACATCTAATATCAAAGAAGTTATTTTATAGGATTTTGTAATAAATCATTTGAAATGAATGGAAAACAATATTTAATATGACAAAAAAGTAAAATATATATAAAAAAGGAACTCGAAGGAAAATTCAAATCTGAAAGTCCCCTATAAAATGGCAAAATCAAAAGCTCATACACATCAAACGAATGGTTAACAACTGCCATTTTCCTAGCTATACCTCTCACTTGTATGACAGTCGCTTAAAATTATTTTTGTTTAATCACATAATTATACAATTATTTTCTTCAGTGGGTTCAGATGTACCTTAATATGTATGTAACTAAGGATTAACTCATTTAAGATTACTAGTTCTTTGAAAAAAAAATATGTTTAAAGATCATCAATTTTACTATGATGAGGATGGTAAAGGGTTATTTTCGTGCAACGTGTTTTGCCATTTTTATTTCACGTGCAGCCGTGAAAAAGGTTCGTTATTCACCGTGTTTCGTGAAATCGGTAAAGAGATCAACGTGCAAGAAATTTTTAATTGTTCGTTCATCGTGAAATGGCAATTTTATTTCGCGTTCTTCCGTGCAGATACCCCCCCCCCCCCTTCTACCTTTACGCCCCTCTATGATGTAAGATATCTGAATTTTGTCGTTATTTGTATCAAAATTAATTTTATTTTTAAAGTTCCATATATGACTTAATTAAAATATATTTCCATCCAGTTATAAACAAATTTGGACATATCTTCCTGATGTTTATAATTCGGGATTCACAGAACTATCCTTTTCCGACACAAGCACTTGTCTCGAATAAAAGAGTATTTACCTACATACCTTAATATAGCACTTGTTATGTTAAGGTCTATATGTAACAAAAAAAATAAGACAAATCCCTGTATTTTCCCACACTCATTGTATCTTTTTACTTCTTCCGATGTTTGTGCTATGATTGATATCTAAGTCTTAGAAAACTATGTTATTTGTTCCAATTGAGCCTGTATTATGTTCAACTAGCTTGCAGTAGCTGTGAGATTCCATATATCGGTGCTCTATGTGCTTTGTTATTCTGTTAATTTTGTACTATGAGTCGATTTTGACGATTCAAAAAACTGTATATGAAAACAAGGAAATGTTGTATGATTGCATCATTGACAAACATCCACCAAAGACAAGGAAGTAAACAACAATAGGACATCGTACGCTCTTCAACCATGATCAAAAAACAAAATCGTATAACCTTTTCTACGAATTTTATAAGTTTATCTTAATAAAACTGTTAATCTACTATCCCCTGGTTAGAAGGAGATGGCACGCATTCAAACATGTTTTACCCCACCATATTCTTTAAGAGCCTTCCAAACAAGAGCTCAGGTTCTAATTCTCAGGAAATCGGGTCCAAAAAGAGAGGCGAAAGATACCAAAGAGACATTCAAACTCATAATTCGAAAGTGAACTGACAACGCCATGCCAGTATTTTGAAATTAGTTGATGCCGCCAGTGATTAAAATTACTCATTGCTGCCTCAATTTCATTTTCATGATCACAACGACCTACCACTTCAATTGATGGAGAAGGCCTCAACCGAGGTCATACTAAAGAAAATTGTTTAGTGAAGGAGATATTCAAGTGGTGATGATGATAAAATTGGAGTGTTCAGCAAGATATTTTAATTATCTGCAGATATTGTTGTGAACCATATAGTACAACTGGAAACACGAACGTTAGATAAACAGAAACGAACAATAACTGAAAACAAACGAGACAAGAATGATATGAGGATTATGATTAGTTGAAATGTTTGAAAACAATTGTTTTTGTTTAGCTTACATTGTCTGTCTGTTCTTGACAAATTTATCATACGTAAACAACTTGACCATTTTAGAAACAAAAAATGAATGTAAAAGCAGTTTAGAGGTCGTTGGAAATCACGCACAGTATAAACACTTTACGATAGAGGTCAATTCTATATAATCTTGTATTCAAGGACAATGAAGCAGTGTCAGATGAAAATGAAGAAGATGTAGTTATGGAACAATATCACTCGGAATCTGAGGCCGAATCTAAATTGTACTTTGGATTTGAATTTAAATAATTGGACATCAAATGCTATAGATCAGTCTGAAAGTGACATTAAAAGTACGATAACCCAAAACCCATCAACTAAATCTAGAAGAAAAATTTAAATTCCATCAAGATTTCATGATTTTTTCAATAAGAAATCAGTTTTATGTCTTGAAGTTTGCAACGAATTTATAATGATTTGATATATATCATTAAAGTCCATACAAAACGGAATGTTGATAAAATTAATAGTTGAAATATGTGCATTTTAATTAAACAATTTCCATGTGTTGATATTGGTGTTCTGTTTATTTACAAGTGGGACTAACACGATTACAAATTGCTGTTTACCGGCCCCACCCTCAAATATATATTGCACAGTCCCTGAAGGAACACATTGTACATAATTAAGGTAAATAGTTATTTATCACTTCTATGATAAAAGTGGAGATACTCTTTTAGTGACACAGATATGCTATATCTTAATCTGCTGGTTTAATATAATATAACAGACTCCATTTACTGCTGATGCTAACAGTTTATGTTAAATCTCAAACAGTTTTGATTTCCTTATTTCTGCTGTAGGGGCAACAGAAAAACCAGAGCATTGCAGAGCCTCATCATAACACTGATAGGCTGTGTTCTTATCACCCGATATCTCATAACATACACCAAGTAATGTAATCGATTCTGATAATGATGTAATTCTATCTGCATGTTTAACTGTTAAATATAAGTCACGTAATGCCTGCTGTCTCTTGAACATATCCCCAAGACGATGATAACATAGAAATCTAAGACAGTGAGACATAACAACAGGCGGTACAGAAATAATTTTGTTTTCACCTCCAGTCGTTTTTCTTCTGGTATTAATGATGACTGTCCCCAGTACTTAACTTCATTTACAGTTGCTGTTTTCATCCTGTTATTCAATGCCATTGTAGAATGCACATTTGGAGTGTAATGATTTATATTTCGCTCATCATAGTTGATACAGCCTATTGTCACCATATCAGGTGTACATCTTGATAGAACATAATCCGTTAGTCTAAGTGTTATATTTTACTGTCCTATCACATAATAATAGGACGCGTATAACAACCAACACGACACAGCATCTGCCTTGATACCATAATGTAAATGTCTATGATAACATTTGCGTATGTTGTACGTTTTATCTAATGTGTTTGGCGGTGGAATTAGTTGTACTACATATTGACTGCATCTAGCATAAACATATTTACATACGTCAATAATAAACGTAGACAATTCGAACTTTGATAATGATTCAGTTAATGCAAGTCCTTTGTAATAACTCGAAACGTCTGTTGGTAACATTATCGCTCCAGTAATCCTGTAAAATAGAAAGTCTAACGAAATGTAAGAAGATTTACTCTTTGCACTTAATGAACGGTGATTTCCATTGTGAAGCGGAAACAAATTATTCATCAATCCATCAATACCTCTACACTCTATACTCTCAATTACACCTAGTAGTATCTTATTGTTACTCTGATTAATCTTTCCTTGGAACATATTGTGTTCAGGTATGAAATAGTTTGGACAGTAACATGTGTTCACCCATGATATTAATTTAGTAAGACAGAGAGAAAAACAGTAATACAATTTAGATAATTGAAATGTGTCAATATCCACTTCCTCCGAAACCCAAAATAATGCCGTCTTCAGAAAGTAAGAACAAAATAAATCTTTGACTTCATATCGTTTGTGTTAATGATACGCTTTAATGTTAATTTGAGTAGACCGTAACATAAAAGTTGAGTTTTAATTAAACGAATGTACAAGCATTTTTTTCTGCCATAGAGAAAGACAATCTCCATAATACGTCACTATCTGATAAATTCTTAGGTCCTATAGGTACTAGCAAGCATCCGTAATTTATGATCCTGTCAATTACAAAATTAGGGGGCCATTGCAACCGATGACGGAATGCCCATTGAATTGAGTTGTGAGGTAGGTATTTACTCCGTAGACAGAATGCAATATCACTTGCCTGTTCTTTGTCTGATAAACATGGACCGTGTACAAATATCAGACTATTCGAAATACATGGCTTATAATTATTAATAAAGTGATTTATTGATAGATAAATCCTTTGACATGCACATAGTACAAAGAGAGATTTCCCCATTCTTTTCTGCTGCCTATTTGAGTCTAGTAAATCCAGGATGTACAATGTCTTTCTCCATAACATATGTAGAACGCTGTATTTGGTGTCTGATATTATTGTATGACGTCTACGTCGTTAACTACGTACATTATATCTATGTCACTGCCTGGTAAATCAAATCCCTCTGACAAACTTCCACTTGATATTTGTGTATAAGTGAAAGAAAATGCATTGTAGATCATATCTTCTATGATAAATAGTCGTTACCTAGTTCGTATATCTATTTCATTACCAACTGTTTCTACTAGATGTTCGTATAAGTATTTCTCCATTGGGTTCTTTCCGTGCAATTTATAGTGGTCTGTAAATAATATATGCATTTACTTATTTATCATCAAACCGATTGATATCATTCGTACATAGAAAATTAAATCTCCGATATTTATTCTGATTCAAGCGTCAATTTTGAGTGTTATGAAGACGTCATGCATCGTAAATTCTAAGAAGGATATCATTAATGACATTTTACAACCAACTATACAATTCTAATCATGTTGACTATTTCGTCCTCAGGTATCATCGACCTAGTTCTCAACACTACTACTTTAATAAAACATGAATATAAAGACAGCAATCGTCCGGTCATTTGTAGTAAAATCACTCATATAAAAATGTTAAATGTTGAAATAAATTATCTTTCACACTTTCATTTGCTGTTTATTTACAATTTATAGACTGTGAAACTATTCAAAACACGAAGGTTTTCCTATCAGAAAGGACATGTAGCCTTTGCCGTATTTTTGGGTTTAAGCGTTTCTGATTTAGGTAAAAACGGTTTAGATGCACCTTGTATATGACAACATTTATCATAGTCCTATTAACAAATCGTGCACCTTTACAAAGAATGTACATTAATCTTTAGCGTGTTTGCACTGAAATTAACATTACGTCTTTCTCGTTCAAGGAAGACATTTCAACGGGTAAAATGGAGTTTTCTTTACAAATAGTATTTATCATATCAATTTATTTAATCTAATCAACTGGCCCCCGGATTGTGAATAACCGAATGCGACTAGTTACCAAAGTGTTTATTTCATGAATAACATGACCTATAGGTTGCACTTAGTAAATACAACTGTTTCACAAACCACGCCACTTTTGGGGACATACTTAATATTCATAGATATTTTGAATTGTTTTCTACTCGTTCCCTGATATGATCTCCATGTTTCATATCATAGAGACACATCTTAGGAATTTCCTTCATAAATACAGTTAGAAGTTCGAGTCATAAAAATGTTGAAAATATGACGCAGAGCCCTATGTTTTGACCTTTGCAAATAATAGTAGTGCTTGAGAACTTTCTATTCCAGGATATAATTTTTTACGAAACTTCATAGTATAAATTTCACAGTTTTATCCGGAAAATGAGTGCCTATGGGAAATTGCAATGTCTATATTTACAGAAGTGCAACCTGTAGTAGAGCAGAAACTTTCACATTCCGGTGCACCTGAATTTAACGTAGGTTTTCGATGGGATTTGTGCTTCTCAGTCATAAGTTACCTGTGTAATATTTTGTAAGATTCGTTGAATCTTTTTCGTTACTTTTTTTGGCCATGATGTCGTCTGTTTATACTTGGATAATTGTTTTCGATTTCAATCTCTTCTTTTTCTAAGACTGTTTTTTATTTGTTTCACATCAAAACGTAGTATACACCTGTTACGTCTAGAGTATTATACATAACAAAGGTATTACCTTTATTGCAGTCTGTACAGTTCTGTAAGTATTCCAGATATTCATTTGAAGATTTGTCAGGATATCTTAGGTTTAGTATCCACTGTTCTTGTTTTTTCCTTCTATCTAAACAAGCTTCATACATTCGTTCAAACTGTCTGATCGTCAATCCAAAAACGTCATTTGAGATAACCATCCCTCCATCTAATGATTGGTAAAGTGATGGGATATATCTACGCCTCCCACTGTACGGAAAACGTTTGACACCGTATATTTCCCAATACGTTATTTTCTTCATTCCAAATAGATTTTCATCGTCATGATTGTCTTGGTTGCTGGCGTTTCCGTTCATAATGCCTTTAAAATATGATTACATACAATCAATTATTTATTACATTTCTTTAACAATGAATTCAAAGTTTTATTTTACTGTCTAATACATAAAAGTGTATACCGATTATCAGTTAATATATAATCAGTCTTGGTATAAAACTTTGTTTTTAGATTTAAGTTGAATGTTACTATGATATGTTTTAAAGTTTGTTGTGTCATAGTTAAACCAGGGGACCTCGGTGGCCAAGTGGTCTAAGTAGTTGAACTACTGTATCACTAGCCTGTCAACTCTGAGGTTGTGTGTTTGAATCCCGCACGCGGCAGGTGCGCTCGACTCTAATCTTAATTGACTAGGATTGTCAGTATTCCTATCGAAGGTCGGCGGTTCCCTCTACCAATAAAAACTGACCGCCACGAAATAGCACAATAGTGTTTAAAGTGGCGTTAAACACCAATAAATCAATTATTCGTATTTGAACAAAGATACTAGCTGAACCAGTTGCTTTAACAAAGTTATATTTTATAAGCAGATTGAAAAGTGCCACATTTTATTAGAACATATTAAAATTGGCATTGAATATTGCTTTTTGTCTTTATACCCCCCTCCCCCCAATAAAAAACAACAACAGACCTAATTAGACTAGGCAAACGAGCACAAAAGCATGCGCATTAAATCTCGAACATTAGTGAAAAGTAGACAGTCATACAGTAATCAAAAGTATAAATTATAAAAAGCAGTTGTTATTTTTTCGATGAAGATAACTATCTGTTTGATAAACTATCTAACGTCGATGTGTCCAAATTACATTAAAAAAAGGACACAATCATTATATTTACTTTTGTTGATCAAGATACTGCATCAACATTTCAGACAGATTTCCATATAAACTGACCAATCTTGTCTTTGTTTCCGTCTGTTATTTTTTTGTAGTATTTTTCATTCCAAAAGTCTAGTTTAAATTGTATGATCAAGATAAATTCATTTCTGTATAAACATGATAAAATTATTAAAAACCAAAAGTAGTTCACCAAATGAAAATGGATATTGGAGGTACATGTCAAGAGAACAACAACCCAACAGCAAAAAGACAGAAGACGTCTGGAGGTCTGCATCAGGTCTTCTTTCATAATCAAGGAAGAAAACTCTATTAAGGTGGTACCTAACACTACAGGGAGATAACTCTGTAAAAATCAGCTAAACGTTTTAATCATGTTGAAATTTTTCTGATAAAGTGGTTGGTTCAAATTATTTGAAAATTTTATATTTTTGTCAAAGGGTCAAAGTAAACATTTTGTCAAAATTTTAGGAAAATTAAACGAGCCAAATTAGTATTATTCAAGGTGTTGGGTACCACCTTAACCTCTAAATACCAAACTTGCAAAAGTTTACAACCTTCAACAAAATTCCATGAATAAGATATGACTCTGGACTATTATAAAAGTACGAGTTTAATGAAGCAAACACAGAAAATCTACTGAGAATATGTTCATTCCAAAATATGCTGTCTATTATAGGGAATCGAAGCGATTGATACTTTGATATTGATTGTAATAATTCACTTGTTATACATGCATTACCAAAGATATACATCTTACCGTTTTTCCCTATGCCGATGGATATAGACTTCGTTGCTTCACAATATTACTTGAATGAATAACAGTAGGAATTCTAGATAGCTGAAACAAAGAGAGAAAAACTTCCTGATTTTTGTAAATACTTGTCCTGATGATATCTGATTTTATTCATATTAAAACAAGGATGGTAAGTCACTTATTAGAATTGTTAAAAACACTTATATAATTGTTCGTATAAGGAAACCGAAACAAAACATAAGTGAATCATAATCCGAAACCTAACTCTATTCTTATTTTTATTTTAATTACAAACATTTGCCAGTCCTCAAGCAAAACCCATACTTTTAATGCTTTAATAAGCTACAAAGAGCCACAGTATAACAAAAGGAGAAACAATTCAAAACAGAAAACCAATGGCGTGATCTATACTACATCTATGATAATAATTTACTTCCATGCATGCATCACTCTCTATGCACATTCAATCAAAGGTCAACTATCGTGAACAGTGCACAGTTATTAAATTTACAGATCAGACACGTATCTAAAGATCTAAGATCGTGAAAACATGTCGCTAGTGAGTTAAATCAGAAACACATTTTGGATCAAATATAACGTTAATTTGTCATTTCATTCACAAAATATCAGGTTGCATTTTACTGGTCACTATAATAATATTTGTAAGATTCTATTTACGGTTTCGTATATTTTTTATCAGCAGATGTGGTATAATTGTCTAATGAGACAGTTACCATTTATAGTCCTATGATGAAAGATGAGATCAATTGCATTTCAACGTATGACCTTCAATGAAGAGGAAAACCCGGTCTGTATAGTATGCTATTAAGGGCACCTCGATGGCTAAATATAGAATCATTCAAAAGAGAAAACCAATCGCATGATTTATACTACACATAACAATAAAAGATCCGTAATTATGACTAACAGCAACCAACAACAATCTTTGAATAACAGTGTCTTATCACAACTAACAGACCGCTTTTACACTACATATTAATGAAACATTCTATAATTTGATAACTGCGTATACACATAAAAATCTTCAAACGTTCTAAGCTGTATTTGGACAAGTCAACGTATTGTTCCATGTATACTCCCTACAACTTATGATTTACTTACTATTCTGGTAATACAATTAACATAATGGCATATTTTTCGTTTAATAGTTCATTAATTTTTTACCTCTAGCATCACCAAAGAAACATACATTGTCGAAATGCGCATCTATCGCAGTGACATTGGCATCGTTTATATCATTGCGTAACTTGATATATAGTATATATATAAGAATTTGTTGTCAGACCAGCATTTACATCGAATAAACACCCTAAATCAGATCTTCCATTCTGTGAGGAAACTTATAAAAACTTTAGGTTAATCAGACAATGTGAGAGATGATTTGAAAACATAGATATGGTTCACAAGATTACTCACACCTTCCCAAAGTGCTAGAATACGTGTAATGAACTTAATAAGTGTTCTTCTTTTATTTATGTCGAGAGTATCAACATGTGGTATCTATGGTTGTTCAAATATATAATTCTTGAATGAATATCTATCTAGTTCTCTTATGAATACCACCGCAGTTGAAGTTTACGCATGGAAAAAAATCAGGACATAATTTATTGAAATCCTTAGGTCTGGCGTACAAAATTATAAGCCTGGTATTTATGTTGGGATTTTACAACTACCCAGTCGATAGCACTGCTGGTGGACCGTTCCTGAGGGGATCACAGCCCAGTATTCAACACTTTTGTGTTGACATAAAATATCTATAAATTTGCTGTATACAAATTTGAAATAGTCAAAACACACGGGCTTTTCTACCTAGATATTAATTGCCAAAACCGTATACAGCATAACTTTTTCGAATTTTTCAATTTTAAGTTCTTCAACTTCGTTTTTGATTTGGCCGTCCGACTGTGTTTAATCGAGTGCCCCTGATGAGTAAATATGTACACGAAACGCCAGTCTGCCGTAACAAGTTTTAAGTCTGGTATCTTTGATGATTTGTAAGAATGTTTCCAAAGCTGCTTCCCTTTCAATATCAAATCCGACTTTGATAATGAGGTTTAAGTAACAATCAAGACTACATCTTTGTTAGCGTCGGAACTGTTTATCTTTCCGAATCATATAAAATTACCAAATTGTATTATATGGTCCCCACTAGTTTATAATTGTTTGCGCATTGTTTTTTCCGTCTTTTTTTGGCCAGCGGGATTGCTGCTTTTTCGACTTACAATTATAATTAAACCCCTGATTATCCATCTCTATTATTTGTTCAGCATTTGAGAAATTTTACCATTTTGAACAGAAATATTTCTTATCATGTTTTTGGTTGCTCTTTTCGTTGGATTCTGCAATAATGCGAACTTTGTTTTTAAGTTTCGAGTTACATATTTTTATATAATTTTGTATTTACTTCTTATTATTTTATCTTTTTTTATCATCACTGTTCATGCATTATCCTAAATGTATTCTGCAAATGTCTTGATAGAATTGACAGTATGGTGTCAGGTGGTGTAAAAACTCTTAAAAGAATCCGAGGAATTAAATCTTTATACCAAGTTTCTTTTCCACATGAGATTATATGAATCTCCAATGACTAACGATCATTATCATTAATACATCTGAGAGGCATAGATTGCAATAACTGCTTAATTGATTTTCTAGAAAGATAAAAATCATAATCAAATATGCGGTTTGCCAGTTGTCAAGTAAAAAGTAACTACCTCCAATGTGCTATAAATTTGATACCGGAGAGTGCCCCACTACCAGTGGTATAAAATAATTCCTTGTACGTCTACATTGAAGGCATTTCATAATGCCTGTTGTTTTAGTTGCTTTAGTTGAGCCTGAAAATTTTGTGTTTTACAGTAAAAACACATTTCACGAAGAACAAATAAAATCTGGTCAAAACAACTTTTTAAATTGAACTAGGGGACTGGGACAGATAATTTTGTCTTGTTAGTTCGAGTGTAAATTGTAGCCAACATTAACAATACAAATTGTATTGTACCAAATATGCATTTCGACAATTACTGTCTCTTCATTGACGCTCGAGGTAAAACATATTGCTTAAATGATAACGTTCATAGAAAGTTATACAAGAAAGACAACTCGTGTCGTTTTATATGACATATCTTTATAATAGTTGTTATCGTTCCTTAGATATGGAATTAATCGGATTGCTGCAATTGTGTCAAGTTGCTTTTGCTGATGAAAGATATTGTTATAATTGGTTGACACAAATTGAAGTTATACCTCTTGTAAAATTAAATAGGAAATTGTATTAAATATAGCAGTCGTGCATCGACATTTGAATATTGCTGATTAAGTACATTATCATACATGTTTTCCCTTCATATCATTAAAAAAATGATAATACGTCCTACACAAAAACAAAAAACGTCTCGAAAGCATTTTCTAACATATTTATTCTAACGACTATTACTTCATTGTTCATATGCATTGAACAATCTTATTAAAACATGTATCTTTACCGACTTTTTGTCTTCATATTTCTCTACAATATGTTTTCTTTAGGGGGAGGGGATTGTGTCATCGATGATATCACTTCTTTTTTTAGCATTTGTTCAGATCTGACTTTTAATTTGTGTTAATTGTTTTGTTGCTGTTTCTAGGGGTGTTGCGTTAATAACTTGTTTGTGGATCGGTAACTAGACGAGATTTCCCACTTATAGCTCAGATACGTCAAAGTTATCATTTGTACAGGAGATGAAGTTATTCAATTTATTCAATCCGGTTCATGCGATCAGTATTCAAAATTCAAACGTGTAAATTAGATAATTTATGTGTGCGTATCTCAGGACGAGGTGTATTTGATACAGTATAGTGTAAAACATGGTATGGTATGTGATAAGATATGATGCTATGAATACTATTTATAAGTACCACCGTCCTTTTGTATGCATTAATAGAGACAATACAATACAATAATATGATATCAAAGTGTTTATCGTCAAATTTACTCTTAAAAAATTTAGAAAATGCAAATGTCTAATGATTACAATATCTGGATGCAGTAGATTTTTTTTTTATTCTATTACTAAATGACATGTGCCATGGACCAACTTTCCATTTGATATGAAATAAAATACTTTTAATTAACAGTAATATATTATATATCCTTATTGATATAGATGTGTTATCATTTATCTACTTAAGATAAATACACTTAAAAAGTAATACAATTACAAGTGGGATGTAAATGAAATTTGAACAGTGAATATGGCTGATAAAAAAACCTGCCATTGCAAACAAAAAATAGTATTAAAAAGTATCTTAAGTATCTTAGTGAAGAACTTCACTGTGTTCCATATTTGTAAAGAATTTGGTGAATGACTAATTATCTAAACCTTGTTTTTTTTTACTCAAATTTATCCATGTTTGCTGTAAACGCAAAGTTGGTAGGTTGACTAGTTCTGGCATTTCAGGTGTATTTCTTTTATGATAGCAGGGTTAAAACATATCAAAATTAAAGATTATTCATAAAATAGTTGCCTTGCTTAATTTCATATTAAAACATGTGTAATATTATACTCATAACTCAGACTTCTATGTTATTTTGTATTTTTTCAAACATTTTTTGACTTTAGACATCAAAATATTTTCATGTATGTTTTTGTTGTATCAACACATTGGTTCTCCTTTCTATTATCGGTCACTGTTATTTTTCTTTTTCGGTTCCTACATACCCATTCGTTATTAGTTTATATATGATGTCCTTCTTTTGTATTTTTTGAGCATCATATATAAACAACTAATATTGTAATATCGGAAATAAACATATTTGCTTACATTATTTACAACACCCCTCATATTTGAATGCTTTCTCCTAATCTTTCGCATCTAAAGAAGTATCTTAGTGAAGAACTTCACTGTGTTCCATATTTGTAAAGAATTTGGTGAATGACTAATTATCTAAACCTTGTTTTTTTTTTACTCAAATTTATCCATGTTTGCTGTAAACGCAAAGTTGGTAGGTTGACTAGTTCTAGCATTTCAGGTGTATTTCTTTCATGATAGCAGGGTTAAAAATTATCAAAATTAAAGATTATGCATAAAATAGTTGCCTTGCTTAATTTCATATTAAAACA